AACCCCAGAGTTTTAAAGTAACAAAGACTTCTTTTTGTGTTTTCTTTAGCTGGAGGGCATCTGTTGCTCAGTAATTGTACTAAAAACCAAGATGATTTTCTTTTATTTCCTTCAAAGATGGACATTGTATGGTAGAGAGAAGACTGTAAAATAAGCATTCTGATGCTTTTTATTTTTTCAAAAGTATTTATTGGAAAGTGAGAATTTTGTATAATGTCAAAGAAGATGAGTAAAAGGTCATGACCCAGATTCTTTTAAGAAAGGTGAATGAATGAGATTACAGTTTGATTATTAACACCTTTTTAAATGTCTGTCAAAAAGAAACTTTGCTTAAATTAACCAAGCTTCATATTTTGAATTTCATTCATAAAATGTGACAATGAAAGAGGAATTACAACAATTTGATGAAAAATCTTTAACGAAAGGGAATGGTGACGCCATGTGACCTTGGCCACATAATGGCTCTGACGGTCTGTGAGGCTGACTCCCTCATGAGCTTGGGTTTTACCTCCTTTCAGTCTCCATCCCCTGTTCAGTACTCATGACCACTGCCTCCTAGGCCTCCCTGCTTCCTGCTGTCCATTCAGAGTTGCATCAGAGGGCTTTGGGGAGCACAAGACTTGGGCAGAGGAGAAAGGAGATAAAGAGTTCCAAAACTTGCTTTTGGACTTAACAAAGGGCATACTGCCAGCTATTTAGCCAAGGTGGAATAGCTTTAAGTGGGGCAAGGCTAGACCTCTCCTATCACAGACAATGTCTATGTTTATTTACTTCGTTGGACTCACCATTAATATAGTGTGCTATATTAGAAGAATACAGAAGCATAGTTTCCATGGATGCCCTTGTTTCTGCTGTGTGGCAGATGTGACCTATTTATATCAATACTGGAATAAAAATGTGGGAGGGAAGTGAAATTGTTTCTTCGAAGATGGAGTTTTTTTTCCACTTTACAATGGAATGAAATATGCATTCATCATTCATTCATTCATTCAACAGATGTTTATTGAATGTCCACTGTGTGCTTCATTAGACTCTCTGAACAGTCTTACCCAGTTCTACTGATTGCTCCCATAACAGGGATGTGCATTGGTCGTTATTGTTGCTAACAACTAATGTCAGAAGAGTTATTATTAGCTCATAATAATTCATAGGTTAATTCTTAATAAGACAAATGTTTGTGAATTTGTTGTTAGCTCTCTCATGACTGCTGTGTGGAGGACTTCAGGCATCCCCATCAAATCTCTGTTCTGCTGCAAACAAAAGTTCAAATGGGAGTCCCAGTTCTAAGAAAAGGAAGAGAACTTGAAAAAGTTTCCATTTCAGGTCTGTTCTTTCAGGAGAAGGAATACTATCATCCCCTCTTTCAAAAGAAGCAACTGATAACCCTGAAAGATTTCATTCCACTCAACAAACATGTATTGAGCACCTATTCTATATAAATATACTGTGCTGGATATAGAAAGGATATAGGGAAGGATAAAAGGATTGCTTTTGGGACCAAGGATATAGAAAAAGATATAGAAGGATAAGGATATAGAAAAAATAGGAAATAATCAAGAAATTCACATTTTAGGGGGATGGATGAATATGACATCTAAATGCAACTCAAAGTCTGAAACAAGGGGAACAAGTGATAAATTACATCAACTATTCTTTAAAAAAATTTGAGGAGAAACAGAAAGAGAGAGAGAGAGAGAGGGCTAATAACTGAGAGAACTGGGGAGGCTTCATGAATAAAGTGGCATCTGAGCTGAGATTTGAAGGAAGATAAGGATTCTAAAAGGGGAGATGAGAAAAGAATGCATTAGGATGATGGGACAATTAGTGTGAAAGCATAGAGGCCAGAGATGGAATATAAAGTTTAGGAAATAGTAATATAATTTGGTTATAGGGAGTAGAGGGAGTGAAAGGTGATACAAAATTAAGTGGAGAAGGAAGATCAGAACCAGACTGTTGAGGGCCCAAAGAGTCTGTGTTTCACCCTATAGGCAATAGGATACCACTGATGTTTTTGAACAGGGGTTGACGTTTTTCATTAGGAAGATGATTTTGACAGCTGTGGGAAGATTGTAGCGGGTAAAAACACAAGAAAGAGAGATGAAAATAACAGCATCTGAGCTGGAAGGGACCTCTGAGACTATTTAAGTTAACTCTTCCATAAATTATTTCTCGATAATAGAACCAATGTATCGTTATCCAAGAGAATAGAAGACTCTTACAATAGTCCAGGTGAGAGGTAATGAAGTTCCAAATGAAGTTCTAAAGGAGAGTGGTGGGTATATGAAGGCAAAGTGATAATATGTCATAGAAATGGAATCAGCAAAGCTTGCCAACTGATTATTTGTGGGGTGCTGGGGAGGAGCAAGAGCCTGGAGGCAGGGGAGTAGTCAGCAGAAGGAAGAGAACCAGGAGAGAATTATGTCACAGAAGCCAAAGATGGAGAGTTTCTGGGATAATGGGGGGCATTAATCAACAGGATTGTAAGCCACAGACGGATGGATAGAGGGTGAGGGTTTAGCCATCTGGGGATCACAACTAGCCTTTGAAGAAGGAGTATTGGAGTGGGATTGGAAATCAGATTGCAAAGAATTGAGAACTGAGTGGGCAGTTAGAAAGTCCAGCCAGTGAATGATTAAGGAAATTCTTTCTAGGTGTTTGACAATAAAAGAGAAGAGAGGTATAGGATGACAGCTTGGGGAGGTGGTGGTATCAAGTGAAGTGCCATTTTTTTAGAAGATGGACCTATGTGCAGCCATCAAGTAAGAAGCCATTTGGAGGAAGGGAGTGGGGAATATCAGAGGAGATGGGGTAAATACCACTAACACAACACAACTAGCCTTGATAAGATGAGGTACCTGCTTCTCTGAGACTGGACAAAGGAGAGGATGGGTGAACATATAGAGAGGTTTGAGTAGGGAATTATGGCTGGATGGTCTCAATTTTCTCAGTAAAGCAAGATTTTTGCTGAGCAACATTGTTTGCAAAATTGTGGTGGGGCCTTTTGAAGAAAGAAGATATAGAATAACCACTGTTGGGTATGATAGTCACTCACTTTTTGCACTGAGGATCTAGTTGACCTGGGAGGAGGGGCAAAGATGAGTGGAGTGGAGGGTAGGAGTTGTCTGAGGGCTGAAGTAAAATAGACTTTGTGAAAAACAAAAGGAAATAGATAGTAGGTGTTGCTTAAGACTGAGGATTGGCATTGACATGAAAAGTTGGAGTCAGCAATGTATTACTAAATGTTTAACCACCAGCTCTCCCACAAAAAAATATGTATGACACACTTTAATCATGCAAGTTTAACCTGCATTATTAATATTTGTCTATCATTTTCTTAAGTCCAGACAACATTCAAAACAATAAATCAAGCTCTAATTTTTAGTGTTTGTTCATTTTTGAGATGTCAGTGCTCACACTGAAAATTTAACAGTCTCTGAACTGGTATGAGTTAGCTACAGCATGCTTTTTTTTTTTTTTTTTTGGTGAGGCAATTGGGGTTAAGTGACTTGCCCAGAGTCACACAGCTAATGAGTGTTATGTGTCTGAGGCCGGATTTGAACTCAGGTCCTCCAGACTCCAGGGCTGGTGTTCGATTCACTGTACCACCTAGCTGCTCCTATAGCACACTTTTGGTTGGAGTACATAGAAAGAGGTTGGAGGACAGTGATCAGCTCTAAAGGTCAATGATAGGGTCAGTACTGAAAGGATGACTGAGGTTGTAGTAAAGGAGATGGATAAGGACAGTAAAATATAGAAAAATGGAGATCATAGGAACCATAGAGAATAGGTTTAGGAAGGAGAAAATAATTTGTTAAGCACTTAGTAGGTGCCAGGCATGTGCTAAGCATTTTCATTTGATCCTCATAACAACTCCATGAGATGCTACTAATTTCCCCATTCTACAGTTGAGGAAACTGAGGCCAACAGAGGAAATGTGACTTGCCCAGAGTCACACAGCTAGTAAGTATCTAAAGCTGGATTTGAACTCAGATCTTCCTGATGCCAGGCCCAGTATTCTATTCATTGCACCACCTCACAGGCACCCATGTTTGAGAGGCATGAGGCTGAAGAAGACATGAAAGGACAGGAGATAAAATTATTGGAGAGGAGAACTTTTAGATCATGGAGGTGGTATAATTATGGATCTAAGGTTGATGTCAAGGCCTGGAAGATTTGTTGCAATGGAAGCCAAGGAGAATGATTTCTCTAGTCCTGGGCATTAATTGGGGTTACTTCATTCTACCAACCCTCCCCAGCACATTCCCCAGGCAGAGGTGAAGGGGGTGGTCCATCTGGAGCTGAGGCCACTTCTTGATATTATTTCATTGAGAAGATACACCACTATTCTCTCAAGTAGAAGGTTCAGGCCTTCTCAGAGTCAATGGAGCTTTTGTAAACAATTTAGCATCCTCCATGCTCCTCAGCTTTTGGACATCTCAGAAATGAAAACATGATCAGGAGACCCTACTTTGGACAAGCATGAGCCTGGATATTGTTTTAAGATCTGACCTGTGAGTAAGTGAAAAAGGTAATAATTTTGTGGGGAGCCCAGGCAAATTCCAGCTTTCCTGAGACAGATAACCTAAAGTCTCATCACCAAAATAATTTTCTTCTTCCTTTTTCCTCACTCCAGCTTCTTCTTCCAACCACTCTGCCCTGCATGTCAGAACAATGGGCCATAGGTTTCATGTGGCCATTTGAATTTGAAGCTGTGTTGACAGTTCCCATGTGGAACTATCTGATGTCACCTGAGAATCCAAGTCTCATGCATACCCCAGAACCTTTAGGTCCATTCGGATCCAAACATTCAACTAAGCTCAGTGTTCAGTCGGTGCTGCCTGCTCATTATCACCTTTGGCAAAGAGAAGGATTTGATGGGGACAGCGAATTTCAGCTGACACAGAGAACTGGGAAAACCCAGCGGGGGCTGCTTTGAGTGGGGCTCTCACTTCCATCTCAGAAAGCCACCAGAAGTTTTTCTTAGATAGGCTAGAGCTGCCATGGAAAGTTCAGGTGGGTGAGGAGACAAGGAGGGTTGTGAGCGGCTGGGAGTGATTTGGGCTCCTGTGAGTATTTTAAAAATGTCCCTCTGAGATGTTCACATGTGAGATAATTCTATGATATCTTAGACAACTAGAGCTTTGCACAAACTAGGCAAGCAGAAAAGATCTATAGTCTTATATCTTATATCTTAGCTCTTTCCTCAAGGGTGGCAGATGAATAGTCCCTCATCTTCTAAGATGTGGGATAAACACTTATAATAGAGGTTCGTGACCATTTTTGCATCAGAGACCCCTTTGGCAGTCTGGTGAGATCTATGGACCTCATCTCAGAATAATGTTTTTAAATTCATAAAATATAGAGGTTTAAAGAAAATTATATTATATTATAATTATTATTTATATAATTTATATAAATACAAATATAATAATATATATAAATTATAATCATGTTAAATTAAAATACAATGATCAAAATATTCAAAACAAACAAATTCATGGATGCCAGGCTAAAAACCGCTGGCCTGTAGCATATCAGCCAAAGGCAGCATGAAAGATGATTTTGAAGGGTGGCACTAGGAAAATGGAAGTATGATGGTACAATGCTGTCCTGGGAGACGGGATACTTGGTTTCAAATCCTGGCTCTGTTGTTATCTAGCTATGTGACATTTAACTACTTACCACACTTCTCTGTGTTTACCTTTCCTCACCAGTACGATAAGAGGTGACGGAGGAGGTTTCCTTCTAGTTCTTAGAATCTATGATTCTATGAGGTAAACTAGGCTTGTCTTTGGCTCCTCCCCCCCTGGTGACTATCATATATTTCATTTATCTAGGCAGTGGACTGTTGTGGAAAGTCAGGGAAGATCTGGCATCCCATTCTGTCTCCTACACTTACCAGCTGGGTAAACTCAGACAAGTCAATTAATTGAAGCCCCTGGTGCCTCATCTATAAAGTGGAGATAATAATAACTATGCTATATACCTCACAAGGCTGCTGTGAATATTACATACAATGATTTATGTAAAACATGTTTTATGAACCTTAGAAAACTATACAAATAATTAGGTATCATTGTTGCTCTCAGGTAGGCCATTTTTGTAAGGGTGATAAGTGAATCAAATCACTATATGTCTTCTCATTATTAGATTGTATCCCCCTGTATTTCATTTCTTCCAAATCTTTTTTACTTGAATGTAACAGAAATTTATTAGATGTTTGCTCTATGAAAAAGGAGATACAAAACTGAATAAGACATGGTCTGTACTCTTAAGGAGTTTACAAATATAATAAACGAAATGATGCACACATAGACATTAAATAAAAGACTGTGATCAGTGCCCAAGAAAGTTACCCTAGGAGCTAAGTCCTTTCAAAGGAAAGAGAGCCATCACTTTCAGTTGGGATTGATCAGAAATGACTTCATGGTGGAGGGGAGATTCAAGCTAGTCCTTGAGTGATGGGTAGGATTTCAGTAAGTGGAAACAGCAGAGAGATTATCAAGGATGACATAAACAAAGATTTGGAGGCAGAAAAGCACAGGACATATTGGAGAAAACACACAATAGTGGCCCAGTTTGTGTCTCCTTGGGTGAAAATTTGAGTGGTATCAAAGTTGATGGGGAGGAGGGGTATGTATGTGGGCAAGGATGGCCAACAAGCCCAAACTGTGGGAAAACAGGGATGATCAGCAGGCCTAGGGAGGTGGCAGTGATAGAATTAGTCAGCATTTATAGGGTGTTTTAAGGCTTCCAAATGCCTTACAAATTTCATTTGATCAATTCAACAAGCCTGTGAGGTAGGTGTTCTTATTATCCCCATTTTATAAAGGAGGAGGACAGAATTTAAGTGACTTGCCCAGGATCACACAGCCAAGGATGTGTCTGAGGCAGGATCTGAATCCAGGTCTTCCTGACTCCAGGGACTGCTCTGTATGCTAGCTGTCTAGGTGGCAGACAGCTCAGAGCAATGCTATGTGGGTTATCTGGTGGTTCTAGCCACTTGTTAATAAGCGGTAGTCCGCTGATGGTCCATGGGATTAAGCAGAAGGGGTCAGAGCCCAAGGCAACCATGAGAGATGATTTAGGATTGAGCCTCAGGTATTTCAGGAGGTGGTGATCCCTCAGTCTATCTGATCCAATAACCACCACATAGTTCAACCATCCTCCTTTAGTATTCCTACTGTTTGAGTAACTAGCTTATTTATTACATAGACCTCATGGAAGAACACTGAACTTGGTCAGAAGAACTGGGTTCAAGTCTCAGTGCTCCTAGTTACTGTAATGTGTTTAGCTAGGGAGGGAAAAGTATATTAATATCTCTGAGCCTCAGTTTCCTCATCCATAAAGTGAGTACAGAAACACCTTTAATAAAGGCCACTCAGCACTGTTGTGAGTGCCAAACGAGGCAATGGGGACCCTCTCTGGTGCCTTCTTTTTCTGATTCTAATTTTTTTTCTCAGTAGCTTCCTTACTGGCCACTCCTAATGTCACAATTCAGACTTACATACCCTCAACCTCAGGGGACACCACACAGTCTCCATCTCTGTCAGAAGAAAGGAATGAGAGTAGACAAAAAAGAAAGAGGAAGGTGTGGTCAGTGATTGAGTCAACAGACACAAAGCTTGTTCTGAAAAGGAGAAAAATTGCTGACTATCGCCCAGAAGACTTAAAGGCTTTCTTCAGGCTCCTGGGTAAGAGAAACCATATCAGGAACTCCTGTTTCATATTTGCCCAACTACATTCCCAATATTCAGAGCCAAATCCGCTAACAATGAGCATAATGCCCAGGAACCTAAACCCCAGGAAGGTCGAATTAAATATAAAGTGCCTAATAGCAATAATCACATAATCAACTTGGAGTTGAGGTGAGCAGGGGGCTCCATTTCCTACCTAGAACTCTTGCCTGGGTGCAAACCCAAGACACTCTAGTTCCTCAAAGGGAAAGGAGATTCCCAGAAAAGGGGGAGTCTAGAAGGTAGAATTAGGATTGATGAGCTAAGGCCACAGACATGCGGATTTCAGCTCTAAAGCAAAGCTTCCTAACAATTAAAACTGTCTCCAAATGGAATGCATTGGCCCATCAGTCACAGGTGGTCTTCAAGTTGAGGTTGGAGGACCACTTGTTGAAGATTCATATACCAGGTAGGGTTTGGGCTAAATGACCTCTGAGATTCTTTTTTTTAATTTTTTTTTTATTTTTAGGCAATTGGGGTTAAGTGAGTTGCCTAGGGTCACACAGCTAGTAAGGGTCAAGTGTTCAGTCTGAGTCCAGATTTGAACTTAGGTCCTCCTGACTTCAGGGCCAGTGTTCTATCCACTGCACCACTTAGCTGTCCCTAGAGATTCTTTTTTTTTTTAAACTCTGAGTTTATGACTCTGATTCGAGCTACTTGTCTAACTTAGGATGGAGTGGTGATCATGGTGTGACAAAATATCACATCCTCTAGGAGAGGCCTATGGGGCCAAGGCTGGAGAGCAATCTAGTCCATGGTTTCTGCTTCAAGAAGAAGAGGGGCACCAGAAGCCCAGCTTCAAGGTGTCCTGGCATTTGTATCTGTACCCATAGCTTTCCTCTAGGGTTGGAGTGTTCACGATTTCCTTGCCCTGTTCTCACACAGCCTTTCTCCTCCACAGAAGACCCAATCATTCGGAAATTCTTGGATTCAGACAGCCATTTTAAAGTGGCTGATAAGGTATCTGCCGCTCCCCTGGACACCTCTCAGTGGGATTTGTTTTCACTCTGTAATGCTGGGGTAGGAAGGACCTCCTGTTGCATGTCTACCTGAGACTTTAGAGGAGATTGGTTCTGAGGGTTGGGTGCTTGCATTGGGGAGATTAAGGCATAGTGTTCTCAATCCCATGCTGTGCTCCATGCTTTGGCTGATTGTTCTGTCACCTCTAGGCTGTGCCATAGCATAGGCATTCAAGGGCCTTCTGGAGCAATGGCCAGTAGTTTTCTCTGGAGCAGTGGTCTCTATCATGTGGTTCCCTTGTATCTCAGTGACACCCCTAAAGTCAAGGAAACTTTGCCTCACTATTTCTTCAAGGCTAAGCCTCTGAGCTGAGTTTTAGCAGAGGGGTCCCATTCAGGTATTTAGCCTTTGTGCTAGTAGGTAGTAACGTCCCCTCATGGGATCAAACAAGATAATGTAAACCTCAAAGCATTATAGAAATGCTAGGTATTAATGATGTTGATGATGATGTGGGAAGAGGAAGTTATTTCTTACTTTTGGCTTAGCCCAGCCCATAGCTGAGCTCCTTTCCATTAAAATAATCACACTAGGATCAGGGCTAGCCATAGAGAAAATGGTGGGCAAAGATGACCTCAATTTTTCCTTTTATAACATAGCCTATAAATGCTATGTAAATAGCATTTAAATAAAATATATATAGGTAAATATATTTTATTATATAAATAAAATGCTATATAAATGTTTTATATTTTGCAAAGTGCTTTGAAAATATCTCATTTTATCCTCAAAACAACCCTGGGAAGTAGGTGCTATTATTATTTCCATTTTACAAATGAGGAAATAGAGTCAGACAGAGATTAAATGACTTACCCAAGGTCACACAGCTAGGGAGTATCTGAGACCAGATTTCAACTCAGGTCTTCCTCATTTCAGGTCCATTCATTGTGCCACATAGCTCCCTCATGCCTTCTACCTTTCTAAGTAAACATTGAAAGTCACAAGTTTTCCCAGCCAGATGGATTATTGTTTTATGTGTGTGGGGGCCTATACTACCTCTTTCATTTCAACAATTCCCTACATTGAAGTAGTTTGCTCTTTATAGCAAACTCCCCTCCAGTGTCCACCCTAAACTCTTTCACCACATTCTCTTGGGCCTCCCCTCCCCTCCCCACTACTCTTATCCAATTCTAACTCTTTTCTCCATGCCAAGTTGTTCCAGAATTTGTTGCTTTTATACTCCTCAGTGTCTTAGCATTTGAGCTGAGCTTTAAAAGTTGGGTACAATTTCAAGTATCCAAGATAAAAGGAAAGGGCATTCTGGGTATAAGGAACACCTTTGCCAAAAGCACAGAGATAGGAAAATTTGGGATGTGTTTAGGGAATAGTTAGCAGTCCAGCTTGGCTGTGCTTTAAAGTTATATGAAAGAGAGTAATATGAGGTGTAGTAACAGCCAGTCTGTGGAGGCCCTTTCAAGAACCCTCTGGAGACAATGGTCCTGCCTTTCTCTGTCTAACCAATTAAGGACTCCAGACATTGGTAGATTATGCTGGGAGACTTTTTTGGGCATGGGGAGCTCTTCAAAGTATATAGACCATTGTTTAACCTCCTGCCGACATAAATACTAGTTTGTCTTGAGAAAATCACAATCTCTCCGGACTTCAGTTTCCTGATCTACAGAATGAGGGGTTACAGTTACACTGGAGGGCCTCTTAAGTCTTTCTCACCTCTTTGATTCTATAATTTCCTGAGTTTGCCTCATTGACCACATTCCTCTCTTTTGTTAGTACCTGCTCTCCATGGTTGTAGAATACTTTGGCCGGGTGAGACTTCCTGCGTACACTTATAACCGGATCCATTTTTTTGTGGCACTGTGAGTACTTCTCAACGTTCAGCACCCTCATGTCCTCCACCTGTCTAAATAAACATTGAATGTCACAGGGTCTCCCAGCCAGGTGGATCATTACTTTAGGAGTGATGGGGCCAATGCCATCCCTTTCATTCCAATAGTTCCCTGAGCTGACCTAGGCAACAAAGACTGCTGATTTATATGCATTGTGGATATATAGAAGGGGAAGGGAAGGAATTGAAGATTGAGTCTGGTCTTGGAGTCCTAGTTTAGAGCATACACAATGATGGAGAAAGGAAAATTAGGATTCAAGGGCCTCTGTGAGGGCCATCAGAAGTCTCGAATGGGCTACTAATGACTCAACTTCCCTACTTTAGAGAACACTGGTCCTTAAGTAATCTTTATTACATTATTCCATTTTGGCCATATCTGATGACTCATCAAATTCTAGACGAAGGGTTCTTGACCTTTTTTGTATGTGTCATGGACCCCTTTGGCAATGAATGAACACTATGGATCTTGTCTCAGAACAATGCTTTTAAATGCATAAAATAAAATACATAGGTTTATGAAGGAAACCAATTATACAGAAATACAACCATCAAAATATTATAAGTTCCAAGTTCATGGACTCCCTGAAATCTCTGTGGACCCCAGGTTAAGAATCCTTGTTCTAGACCCTTTCTCTTGCTTCTTCTGATATAGACTTTCTAGGGCCTGTTGATTTAAAATAGAAGGAAATCAGATTAGTCTGATGAGATTTGTTTGGATTAAAGCTGTTATTAGTTCCTAACCTATGTATCACCTGGGTTATTTTGGGTGCTTGTTTCTTAGTTCTCCACTGTCACATTTCACTGGTTCTGAGTGGTCTGTCATTACTAGGCATCTGCTTAGCGTTTCCCCTTCCCTTGTGGCAGATTCATCGCCAATCAAATTGAGGAGGATGACATGAAATCTAAATTCAACATGATGCCTGTCCTTTTTGGAAAGAGACTGTGGCGTAGTCTCTACTATGATTTCTGGCGGGTACAGAGAAAGTTTATTGTTGCAATGAACTGGAGAGTTCTTGTCACTCGCCAGATTTGTGATGAAGTGAGTATCTGGTGGTGGGTAGTTTCACTGAGAGGATATGACACTGACATACGGGATGATCAGATTTCAGAAGAAGAAAGACTGTTCATTTCTAGTTTTCATCTTTTAAAAGTTTTCATTAAAAGAAAACAGGAAAACCTAAAATAAGTAAGACACAGAAATGTCACTGCCCGTGCAAGGAGAAAAGTAAAAGACAAAAACAAGAGAAGGACCAGGAAAGTGAAGGAGAGATTTAAAGGAGAGATTTTAAGAGGTTTTTTTTTTTTTTTGAAGGAAGAAGGAGGAAGGGACTGGTAATGGGATAAAATGATAATAAACATTTATATGGCACTTTAAGATTTATAGGAAACCTTTCTGTCAATAGCCTTTAAGAAAGGTCTCCATTTCATAGGCACAGAGAGATAGCTTAATCAATTTGTCAGTAGTTGTGGAGCTAAAAAGTGTTATTGCCAGGATTGAACTTAGGTCTTTTGACTCTAAGACTAGTGCTCTCTTCCATCATACATGGGGGAGTACAGGAAGACTTGAGTGTAGATATGAGTAGATGTAGGAAAAATAGATAGAATAGAGTGCAGATATGAGTGAAAGTAGGAAAAATAGATAAAAGGTAGGTATTGGGGAGGTGCACGGTGTGAAAAAGGCTTGAGCCAGTTGATATAAAAACCTTGAAAATTAAGATAAAGAAAGTATCTTGATTTACTCTCGAGGAATAGGGTGATGAGGAACAGATACAGATGAAAAAATATGAAGGAAAGGATCATAGATGTAAAGCTGAGACTTTTGATGTTCTTGAGTTCAGCTCCCTCATTTTACAAATGAAGAAACTGAGGCCCAGAGAAATAGGATCACATAGAGAGTGAATGTCTGAAGTGGGATTTGAACTCGGATTTTCCGAACTCTGTGGTAATGTAGTAGTGGTATTGTTATCCACTATACTACAATACTAAGATTGACAGGAAGTAATGCCTGATGGACAGTTAAGGCAGGAATAGATTACAGTGTGACCAAGGTCTAATCAAAGAGTTTTTGTGTACAATCAATAATAAACATTGGATTTAACTAAATGTTGGAAAGGACACAACACAGGATCGAGGGGAAATGTCACAAAAAATTTCTTACCCTTTAATCTAATTTGCTTTTAGATCCAAGCCCAGGCCCCTACACACTGGGTCTGGGACAGGGACCGAGACCTCCTCACTTAAACTCCAGCTCTAGAAGGGTGGAATGGAGGGAATAGAATGGATGATCCCAACATTCCAACAAACCCAGGGTGAGTACCCATTCCTGATAGCCCCACTCTATTGCTCACGCTCACCAAGGACAGAGCAACTTTGTAATCATCAGTTGCCTGCCTCCTGTAGGAATTCAATTTTAGGATATTGCTGTATTTTATTTGGAAACAGGGGTTCTGAGGTATATTATTTCTAGATGTACCCGTTAGAAAAGTGACCTTACCAAGTGATGATGGCATGTCCCAGGAAATGTGTCCATTTGGGATTCAAGTGGGTACCACTTGTCTGATGGTCACAAGTAATTTGTTTATATACCATCTGAGCCAGATGAGAATATATTGAATACCAATTGTGCTAACATACCAAAGACAGCTTGAGTATGATTTCTTGGTGCGCTATGCTCTAAGCTGTATATTGAAACGGATACCAAAGCTGAATAAGTTATGAGTCATTCAACTTTTGGAAGGAATTGGATAAGATTTTTTTTTTCAGAATCATGAGGGTGGGTCAAAATTGGAAGGGAAATTGTGTGGCTAAGTTATCCAGGTGGGATAGCCTAATGAGAAACCTGGAATTTAACTTAGTCTAAGGGCTTAGTACACTGTTAAAAGAATCATAACCACTCAAGAGGAACATTTTCTGATCCGATCTGTAAGTATTTAAAAGTGGAAGGTTATAAGAAAATGGGTAGATCATAGGTCAACCCCAAACACTTCTAAATAAGACAAAGGCTTTGTTTCAATCAGCAGAGGGTTGTTGCAGCTGACTTTCCTAGAAGGGAGATTGTAGCTTCACATTGACTTTGGGATAAAAATGTAAAGACATCAGCTTGGCTTTTAAAGCCCTCCATGATTAAAGGTCAACCTACTTTTCCAGATATTTCACATTATTCCGCTTCGCATACTTTTATATTTCAGACAAATTGAGTAAGTTATTCCCTGAACTTGACATTATATTTTCAGTTCCCGTGCCTTCATACAAACTGCTCTCTAAATACAGAATGCACTCTGCCTTCACTTCTCAATATTATCTTTCTTCAACATTCAGATAGGTCATCATCTCAGCAAAGCCTTCCAGATCCCCACGCTGTTAGCATGGGGAGAGAAGTGAGTTTGGTGTCTAACTATAGGAAGGCAGATCAGAGCTATCAGGCATATTAAAGGTATACACACTTTTAATCTCTACTGGTGGGGCAGCTAAACCTGGTGGATTGCTTGAGCTTGGGAATTCTCAGCTGCAGACATTGTGTTGATGCTAAGTTTGGCACATATGGTGACTGCTTGAGAGTGGAGAACCACCAGGCTGTCTGAGGAGGGGCAAACTGGCTCAGATTTGAAACAAAACAAGTCAAAACTCCCATGCAGTTTGGCAGTAGAGTCTAATCTGTGGGTGGCTGCTACACATCATCCAGTCTAAGTGAGACAGACATTTAGTTCCAAGGAAAAATAAAAGGAATGTAGAACAAAGATCACCAGTTCTACCTCACCTATTCCAATCTTGGCAAGTGAAGCTCCAAAGTAATCTGTATAAACCTTGGCTATTGTCATGGGTATGAAAGAGGTGAAAGGAATCTACTCAACCTTACACAAATACTGGGTTGGCCTGAAGGAATTACTTCTGGTGGAAGCAAACGGAAGGATTCTCTCCTTGTTGGTTGAAATAGCCTTCAGCCAGAAATTAGGTTTAAACTAATGCCTTGTACCATATTCCACAATACATTCTAGATATGTGTCCTTAATATTAAAGATCATACTATTAAAAAAATAGAAGAGAAGCAGGTCATATACCTCTCACAGCTACAGATAGGACACGTCATTCTTGATGAAATAGGGGATAGAGGCAACTATCAGGCAATTATTAGAGTGGACAACACTGATTACATGAAATGGCAAAGTTTCTGCATAAACAAAATAAATAGACCTTGGATAAAATGGGAAGTGGTAAAACGGGAAAAAATCTTTGCATTGATGAGTTTGGTAATCAAGATATATAAACAATGAATAAATAATACATATCTATATACATATCTATGTGTATATGTATATATATATAAAGAAAAATACTTAATATATTCCTTAACTGTATATATACTTACATAAATACATAATTAATATATCTGTTAATTATTTTCCCAATAGATAAATGGTCAAAGGATATCAAAAAGTTCTCAAAAGAATTGCAAACTATTAACCACATGAAAGAATGCTCTAAATCACTAATAATTAGAGAAATGCAAATAAAAACAACCCTGAGATTTCACCTTAAACCTTGTAAATCCGCAAAGATGACAAAAGATGAGAATAGTCAGTATTGGGACAGAGTGTGAGAAGATAGGCACTAGGTAGAGCTGTGAATCAGTATAATCATTTTGGAAACCAATGTGAAATTATGCAAATAAAGTGACTTAAAATGTCCACATCCTTAGACCCAGAAATTTCATTGTCTTGTACCCCAAGAAGGCCTTTGATAAGAAAAAAGTCCCTATATGTACCAAAATATTTACAGCAACACTTTTTGTGACAGCAAAGAACTGGAAACAAAGTAAATACCCGTCAATTGGGGAACGCGTAAATAAATTGTGGTACATGAATACAATGGAATGTTAACATGCTGTAAGAAATAATGATTGCAAAGAAGCATGGAAAGATCTATAGGGATACAGAAAACAATATACACAATGACTACAACAATGTAAATGGAAAGAACCACACACACAAATCAAAACTGAATGCTGAAAAATCATAAAGAACAAGTATGTCTTGAAAGAAGAGAGATGAGAAAAACACTCCCACCTCACCTCTTTACAGAGGTCAAAAGTCCACAAGTGTTGCACATTGCACTTATTTTTAGATTTTTGTTGATATATTGACCAATTATGCTGATTCTTTCCTCTTTTTTTAATCTTAAAATACTATTTGTTAAGTGAAATAGGTTTCTGAAAGGGGAAGGAGTTATGAGAGATACTGGGGAAAATATGGTGATGTTAAAAAAAAAGTACATCAATAGAAATTTATTTTAAAAAAAAGAAATAGCCTTGAGGCTATGAACAATTTCACAAAAGGGCTCTCACCACTGTCCTACAGTGAAGATGTCACATAGCAGCTCTAAGTCATTGTGAGTTTGGCAGTAACAGGTCAGTGGATATCCAGCAAATGACATCACCAGCTCTTTGGGGAACATCGAGCAGTTTCAGAGAGAGAGAGGTATTTCAGTAAGGGCTTGGCACTAGGATCATGAGTTGTTCCATCATCTCTCTCTCCCAATTCCCAGTGTATGGGAGAGCATATCCATGTATGTATAGGGATATGTGTGTGTGTGCATGTGTATGTATCCCTTGTTATTTACCTTGCTATTATGCTAAATGATTTTGCTTTGAGTTAATATTTTAAAATTTAGCCAGATAAAAGAAGCTGCAAATGGGGATTTGTGAGCTTGGATACTCACCCAAAGCATAGTTTGAAACCTGGGTCTAGTTTTCCGGGGACCATTTTTGTGGGAGAAGGGATCTAAGCTACATGAGTGTTTTCTCTTCCTCAAAATCTTGTATTTACTTATCTACATACATGTCGTTTCTCCAACACAATGTAACTCTCCAAGGGTAGAGCCTAGGTTGTTTTTGTTTTTGTAGCCTGAGTGCCTTGCACACTTCAGTAACAAAAATCAATGTTTATTGAATGAATTGAATTGTTTTACCAGGCTATCACACAAAGTTGGTGGCAGGTATACCTATATGTACAGAGGGGGAGAATTCAATTAAATATACCAAATATTCAGCACTATGCTAGGCACTCAGGGAGATACAAGATTTAGACAAAGCATAGTTTCTTCCCCTAGGGAATTCAAATCTACTAAGGGGAATGAAACACACATAACATATATGGAAAGGCAACTTGCTAAGATTCTAAGTTGCAAAACAGTTGTTGATCTTCAATGTTAGAGAGAGTTCCCTCACTGGGAGTTGTCGTCAAAGAAATCACAGATCCATTAGTTAAAAAAACAAAAACAAAAACAAAAACAATAAATACCTGACAACGACAGTAGAGAAATACAAATTACTATATGAGATCAGAGGGGCGAGGTTACACCTGGGAGTTTGTATAACAAGGACTCTCCTCCAGTCTAAAGTCTTTAGGGTTTTTCAACTTTGATTAACACAGATTTTTTTCTTTCTGGAATGAGAAACAACTAAGAATGGAGCCTGGCAGGAAAAACCTATTCCAAAAGAGGCATGGAGGATTCTTGGCCTGAGCATGGGGAAAAAACAAAACAAAACAAAAAACATGGTGCTGTGACAGAAAAGAGAGAGGAAGCTGGTAAGTGGTGAGTACCATGAGACCTGAAAGCAGGACTTAGGGGAGGGAAGAAAACCAATTTCATAATTTTCCAAGGGTTTGTCCTGATCTTAATTAAGGATGGGGAAATAGATGATTATGGAAGCCCTAGGTAAGTGTTCTTGTTCTATTCTCAATTTTCCTTGTATTTAATCCACTTTTGTGTGTTTCCCAGTAGAAAGTAATCTCTGTGCAGGCATTGCATTACACACAGTAGGTATTTAATAAATGTTGTTAAATTGACTTGAAGTCATTGATATATCTACATATCAGATGGTTTCTAAGAGAGAAAAAAAAACAATCATTGGCAACTTTGGCACAGAGGGCCAGACTTCCCTGGCTACAAGATCTGGGCTAGTGCCACAGACATTTGAACGAGGGAATTTGTAGTTGAATAGTTTGTCACGTCTAACTCTCCATTTGGGGAGAAACCTTATTTGGGCTTTTCTTGGCAAAGATGCTGGAATGATTTGTCATTTCTTTCTCCAGCTCATTTTACAGATGAGGAAACTAGGACAAATAGGGTTAAGTCACTTGCCCAGGGTCACGTAGCTGGTAGGTGTCTGAAGCTAGATTTGAACTCAGGTCCTCCTGACTAGGCCAGTGCTGTAGCCATTGCGCCACCTAGCTGCCCAAACAAGGGATGCTCTGGTAAAACTAGACTGGCAGTTCAGGAGGATCATGGACTGCAGTGCTGGCTATGTCCCTGACTTTGCTCACAGCCTGACTACATTCTTGAAAGAGAAGCAGCTAGGCCAGAAAGACAGCTGAGTCCACAGAATCATTACTGATATACCTGACGTAGCCTGTGGTCCGAATCAAATTATAGGCTATTCACAGTCTATGAAGGAACCAGATTCAGACTACTGATTCTAGGTTGTTAACCACTTATAATCATAGAATTTTACAGGACCGCAAAGGCCTTCTAGCCCAGCTTCCATCCTAAAGAAGGAATGCAGGAAGGTGAGACCAGATGAGCTTTAATACAATAGGTCTACCTCCTTGTATATACTTGTTTGATATACTAGAAACAGCACCAATCTGTGATCAAGAGACTCGAGTTCTAGAGCCAGCTCTATCATACTGTGATGTGAGCCTGGGTAAGTTACTTCTCTTTGGCTCAATTTCTTAAACTGGAAAATGGAAAAAAATCCCACCCACCCTATCTATCATACAGTGCTATTATTTAATTATTATTTGAATAATAATAATAATAAATCATTATTATTTAAATAAGTAAACCACTATATGTGAGAACACTCTGAAAAAGAATGAAAGTGATACAAATTATTGTAAAATGTTTTATTTATTAAGTCTTTCTGTTTTAAAATAATTAGTTCATATCTGTATAATACTAATACTTATTTTCAAAGTCCTCCATTTGAGGAACTCTCATTCAGGCATCACAGCTGCATTCACACTGTTCTAACTTTGAAACAATCCCTAACTCTCCAGAAAAAATATGATACAGGATGCAGACACACCTATCAGTCAAAAACACTGCTTAATAATCCACAAACATATTATTCATTGAAATTTAATTGTATTCAAAAATAATGAACTTAAGATTTTTTTAATGGAGAAAAAAGCTCCTGCTTGTTCAGTGAATAAATTACTGGGTATGAGTGGCAACTATGGTGATCTGGAAATTCCACTTTCATTTAAAGCGTTGTTCACTTAAGAAGTTTACACAACAATCACTAAAATCTTATTGCTCATGAATCCTGTAAAATTCAAATTTGGACATTTGGTTTTTAGAAAAAAGAAATTAATTCTTTGGCAAAAGAAAAAATAATATACAAATTCCACATTCTGCTGAGTTATCAGAAATTTGGATTCTTTAAAGCAAAAATCTGATTAAGGGTACACATTTCCCTTAAGAGAAAAATAAAGAGATCACGGTGCCCTCAACATGCAAGGGAGTTACTTAAGTAATATTTATATCTATAGAAGGAGAAAAATAAAGACTTATTTTCTCCTCGGGGCAGGAGAGCCATGACCTTCATTTTTGGTGAGGCATCTACTCACTGTGAATCCTAACTTCTCTGAACCTTAGGAAATTCTGAAACTATAAAGTAGAGACAGGTTATGATTTGTATTTGTAGAAGGAACTGCCACACTGATGAAATTACAGGTCCTTGATGGACTGACATGAGTTTTTCCCACAAGTTTAGGGGGCTAGCTAAAGTGTCCACTGCATATTTTTTGGCACTTTGAGGATACCCTGTAAATATTTCACACTGACTCATAAAGTGTGGGGCTAGTGCTACTGTGCCCCAACACCACAGCTATTTCCTTGAGCCTCTGGTCTTGGAGTGGTATTCTGTACCAAAGTAGCAAGTGAAAAAGTTCAAAGTGAAAAGGAAAACATTTCAAATGAACAGCTGATTCTAGAGAGCCACCACTTGTTTTGGGTCTCAACTACAGAGCATCATCTTCCGATTCATTGTCACTGCTGGGTTTAGTCAGGAGTTCCAGTTCTTCTCCATCCTAAAGGAAATATGTGGAAGTCAATAATACATTAAAACAATGAACTATAATTATAATTTCCAAAGGCTCCTGAAGGGGGGAAAATGATAAGTTTTGTTTTACTAAGCTCTTGCTGTCAGATCAAAAAGGCATATTTATAGCTTGCAAAACCAGCTGCCAAAGATCTTACAAAACTCATTTTATAATAGAGATATTTTGGTAAAATATACTCCATATTTACTGCAAAGTTAAAGCCGCCCCAATGTTTTAGTGTGGCCATAGTTAAAAAAATATAGATAGCACACTCTGCTGGTCATTACCTGTAATGGCTATAGACAAAAAAAAAAAAAATCCAACCCTTTTTCCCTCTTACCCTTCCTCCCTCCCCCCATGCCCCCAGGAGTTATTTTTTTCAAATGTCCTTGAAAAGAGTGGCTATATCTTTTAGATAAGAAGGACAATAAATGCATGTTATTCAACTAAAAGGTTGAGCAAAAGATTGACATATTTCACTTGGGCAGAAAATTTTTTCTGAAAAAGTAATTTCCAAACTTTTTCTGCAAGTGATAGCTCTGTCACCAAGAATACAGATGCACAACACTGAAGGAAAACCTCCCTACAGGGAGCTTAGAGAGCTGTGGAAACATATTCCAAAGGAAGAGTGAAATATTAATTATTTGAAACATTTAAAAGTATATGTGTATATATGAGGAAATGGTTCATCTATGGCTAAATAAAGGGTGGGATATATTTTATTCATCTAATAAACATTTATTACACAACTACTGTGTTTAATGCACTGTGTGGGGTGCTAGGCCAGATACAAGGATAAAGAGCTGTTGCCCTCAAAAGGGTTTATATATCTTTGTTTAAATAACTGACTAACTCTCACTCTCACCCCATTAAGATGATCAAGACTCCCATCTACCACAATCAATTGATATTCAAAGTAAACGTCTATTTTGTCTACAAAAGCTTTTCCCTACTAAAAACAATCTTAAATTGTCATATGACATATGACAGAACTGTAGTGCCACATTACAGACATGGGGAATCTAGTCTCGGACATTTACTAGCTGTGTGATGCTGGGCAAGTCACTTAACCTCTGTTTGCCTCAGTTTCCTCATCTGTAAAATTATGATAACAGCACCTACCTTGCAAGGCTGTTGTGAAGACCAAATAAGATAATAGTTGCAATGCCCTTAGCACAGTGCCTGGTACTTAGCACTATATCAGTCATTATTATTCATGAATGAAGGGGAAATTAAGGAGATCAATTAGGTTTATATATGTATTATTACCTTTCCATGTTTAAATGCTATTTCCTCAACTGGATCATGAGGCTAGGATTTCGGGTCACATTTTTTGTGTATCCTATAAAGCATGTGGCATCTTATCCAGATATGCAATAAATATTTTCCTACTTAATAGATATTTTCAGAGATTCAAGAAATTAACTCTCTCCTCTTTTTATTTTTACAACCATCCCTAGAATTCTAGTGGAGGGGACAGAAAGTAACTTGCTAGGAACTCACCCCACTTGACCGTTCCCAGAGATTGCCACTTAGATCTTTGGTTCTCTCTTGCATAGAAGCGTATACCAGACTTCTAGATTTACTAGAGTTATAAATAAATATAGAAAGAAGGACTGTTGGGGCTTCCAAAAAGAACTCCAAAGATGGTTTGAAGTCAAAGACCAGGACAGATATTGTAGTGATTATCACTGTTGTGACTTGAGCCATCAGAACATGGAACATATTATCCAGGAATTTCAGAATAAAGGCTACTGAGAGACCCTGGAGAGCAGTGACAAAAATAAGTGCTACTGAAAATGCATTGTGGCCATAAAAAATCCCACAATTCTCCATCTGGCCACTATTAGTGGTCTGAAGGCTTAGGGTCAGACCATTAAAAAACACTCCAAAAGCATAGAGTTTGCTATTTTGTATGAAGATATTTTCAGTGAGCTGGTCCCCTTCCTTAAATATCTTTTCATTATAGATGTTGGCCATCGAGGAAATAAAACACTGAACTATCACAAGCACGTGACCCAGGCCCAGGCGGATACGACTGAAAGTCCTGGCAGTAGTGTTCCATTTGACTTCAGGAAGAGTCCATTGCTTTGCTGTGCAATTGTCTTTTCCATGGCACTCACTGAGAGGCCTGGTGAGGAGGAAGCAAGAGTTGGATGGGCTGAAAAAGGCATCATGATGAAATCCATGTCTTGTCAAGTGTGTATTTTCAGTCCCTGCCGTCAAAGCCACAATTGACAAAAAGAGAATCATCAGACAAGCCCACTGTATCCAGGTGAGATGCCGCCTATTCACAAAGGAAAAATAAGACCATATTTACTTGGTGTATTTTACCCTGTATCTTTCATGCTTATCATTAAAACCAACTCATTAGTATTTGTATTAATAAATCATGCACTGCTCTGAAATAATCCCCTCCTGCCCAAGTTCAAAGGAAAGTGATTGTTGTTTCTGGGTCTTAAACTTCGGCTTTTAATTAACATTTATAGGACATCCTTCCCTTCAGGTCACTGAGTCACCTCATACTGAAATTCATTTCAGAACCCTTTCTTCTAACTTCCACATCTAATTATCATGTTTTAAAGGTTCAGACTAGCTTTCTTGTCTACTGTTTTGTTGGTCATGTTCTTGACTTACAGTGATAGGGTTCCTGTAAGCTGTATTCACAGATCATTGTATCATAATCTTGGGAAAGCATCAAATTTGTAACAGATTAATAAGAAAATAACCATATCTTTAAGTATCAAAAACTTGAAAAGGAAATATTGTGGCATGGATAGACTTGCACAACTAAATGTCAGATTAAATTCCTTAACATAAACATCAAAACACTTGAGGCTAGGGAAGGGAACAGTTGCTGTGGGTTAGTGAGTATACTAGTGACCAAAAGACCATCAGGCAAAAGACAGGGCATATTTCTTTCAAGTGGTTTGATTTAAAATGAAAATGAAGTTTTGAGTATTCTACTTATATTTCTGTTTTTAATTACTGGACTAATAGCTAATAATAATCGACTAAAATGTTACTATAAAATGATTTTAACTTGACAAATTATGATGTTAAAAAACGTTTATTGCATAAGTGTGGGACCCCATTATTGCCTGGGACCCCATTTCCCTTCCACACACACCAGAGGAATATATATCCAGTTTTATAATGGAAATTGATAGGAAAATACTATTGTGCCCACAGACATTTGCCTGACAGAGTTATTTTCTATGATAGTGCTTTTTTTTCTGAAAAGCTCCTTAAACTATCTGGTAGTTAAGAATTTCAGTTTCATAATTCATAAATAAATGCATGTAAAGTCTTCGAAAGTATTAAAAAAAGCTAGCACTATACGAATTTTGATGAGATAAGTTTTAATGAAGAGCACCCCCCCCCTTTAAGGATAATAAAAGGAAATTTTCTCTGAGCAAAGGAAAAATCCTCAAAGAGTTCCTTGGACTTGGAGCGTTGAGGAAGGTACCATATTATCATTTATCATTCTTTGAATGGATAAAAGCCTGACAATTGTATATCCTAACTGATTATTCATAGTCTCATACAGATATGACTTGCAGTTTGAGGAATCAGAAACAGAAAAAAAAAAAGGGAATGTCATGTTAACAGCAAAAAGGACAAGCAACTAATATAATATCACTTGATTAAACTGACAATTTAAATGAGAATTAAGGAGGATTAAAGACCTGGAGAACCATATGCTCCAAATGGAGGCAGTGTAATATGATAGAAAAAAAGCTGGACTCAAAAGATCCCCATGGCAGCCTCATCTCTTCAATTTGCTAGTTCTCTGAGGTTGGGCAAGTCATTCAATTCTCTAATCTATGATAGAGGGAAAATAATACCTCCTCTACCTTCCTCACAAGTGTGCTGTGATCCTCAAAAGAGACAGTGAATATAAATCATTTGACAAAGTAAAAGCAAGAAATAAATGTAAGCTAATCATTATCTCAATTTAGGATATTTCAGTTACTGTACTTGGAAATAGTGCCTAATTAACAAAATTTATAATATCTAATGACCCTAATTTTAAATTATTATTATTAAAATATGATGCAGAGATTAGTTTCCCATTAAAGATTGAAAATTTGGTTCAATTCCTTTTACAGTTTGTTAACTTTCTGACTAGCTTAGGATGAGATAATGCATTCCACAGGAATCTGAAAATACTGTGAAAAGTTTAAGTCTGTCATTATTACTCTACAGTCTATTTGTAACATACCAAATTCCTTGTCTTAAGAGCTATTTTTAAAATAAGAAAAGTTATAATGTTTAAAAATATGTTTAATATATTACATTAGGCATTTTGTAGCCCTATCTCCCAAACTTAAAACATATCAGGAAACTCATGGCTTTCCACATTTGCACATGAAGCTTTTTTGGGTGGATGAATGAATGTAAAAGCAATTATTAAGTGCGGGTATGTGTTAAGCTCTGTACTAATAAGGCATGGGGTTACAGAGAAATCAAGATAGTCCCTGATCTTAAGGAGACCATACTCTAATTGGGGGAATGGGAGGACATGGAGGAAAGATGAATGGAAAGGCCCAGAAGCCTTGAGGATACAAGGATTCTTATGAACCATTTGCAGAAAGCCACAGCCTCAAAAATAAAATACTAACAATACCTTGCACATTTATCTTTCTTTAGAAGGGCTCAAACTACTTAATACACCTTATCAAAGGGATTTGGTCAAATTTTCACTGGAGCTGTGACTTGCATTTGCCTGATTTCCAGATGGGTTAAATAACTTGCCCAATACAACAAAGACAAGTAGGAATAAAATCCAAACTGGACTCTTGAGATTATGGTGTTCAGGGTATATCATTTGAAACAGGGTGAGGCAGTTTTTAAAGTATGATATATGCTTTCACAGTAAGTTACTTACTTTAGCACTATCCTGAATAGAAGAGCTGTTGTTATAATGCTAAAATTTGAGAAGAGCACAGCCATGGCCTAGAAAGAAACAGAAGATAAGGTTACAATGGAAACAAAGTAATGACCTCAGAAATCTCTCAACTTGGTGTTCACTTGACAAAAAGGCTTTCTCGTCAAAATATAGAGGTTATTAGGACAGCTCTTTCACTAGACGATTAAGTTTCATTATTATTGCTGGGTAAATTTATGCAGATATAATCAAATATTAGGCAGACCTTGAAAATCCATGCTCCACTGCAGAAACTGCTCATGTAAACAATCTGCATGTGCAGATTCGGAGATAGACATAAATTCTAAAGGTTTGACTTTAGAAATTAAGTAAGAAGTAAGATAGCAATTTTCATCAAATTTCATCAAATTTCATCTTCACAATGCATATCTCAAAGTGTTTCTTTAAGACTTCTCATCACTTTCTATGAGATAGGCAGTTACTATTATGCCCCCAAAACAGATGAGGAACAAATTATCTCCTTCTAGACTTGTTAGAGGCAGCTAGGAAGCAGTGGACAGAGCACTAGGCTTGGAATCAGGAAGACTCATCTTTATGAGTTCAAATCCAGCCTCAGACACTTACTAGCTATGTGACCCAGGGCAAGTCGCTTAACCCTGTTTGCCTCAGTTTCCTCATCTGTAAAATCAGCTGAAGAAGGAAATGGCAAATCACCCCTGTATCTCTGCCAAGAAAACCCCAAATGGGGTCTGACATGACTGAAACAACTGAACAACACCAACGCTAGTTAGAAAGTTAATAAATTATGAAAGGAAATGAGGAACTGAACCAAATTTTCAGACTTTAATTCACTAGGTTCTCAGTGTTTCTTCAAAATTAAGAGCTGACTTACTTTGGATTCCACTTTGAGGAAGTATGCTATAATGGAAATAGTACTGGCTCTCTGGAGTTGAAGGGCCTGGGTTCAAATCCTATGTGTATATCTTTGTGATCTTGGGCAATTCACCGTACCTCAGTTTCCTCATCTGTAAAATGAGGAGGTTGGCCTAGATGGCTTCTGAGGTTCCTTCCAGTTTGAAATCTAAGATCTTATGACATGATTTCAGTCATTTAGAAACTAGTTAATCTTCAGCTTTTAAAGATCTTGGTTTTCAAAATCAGCAATATTTTACGTGAATATGAGTAACAGACTTTACCACACTTAATATTTTCTCCAAACTCTTATGAAGACCCCTCCAAAAAAAGAAAGCAGTTCTAACTGGCTAGTGTATAACTTAAATGATAAGTTTATTTTCCTTACCAAACATCTATTACTAATTGTCAAATGTTGAGTAATTGTGAAGTTCTATCAGGATTTTCATAGGTAAGCCTAGAAATACAAACAATGGTAATCTTGGTATATGGCCAATAGGTTTAGTTCTTCTAGCCTTGCTAGTTTGTACTCCTTATTTAAAAAAAAATGGATATAAAAACTAGCTCAGAAATGTAGTCCTACCAATTCGTAAATGGCTGGGGGAGGAGAGGGAAGAAGGGAAGACAGGACCCAAACCCAGACCTCCTTACTCCAAATCCATTGCTCTTTGCTATACCATGCTTCGATATTGTTGATTTACTGGCACTTTCTGCTTTTCAAAGTACTTTCAAGTTTCCTTACTGGGAGTTCCCTATACCAATGAAATCATAGTTCTTCTACAATCTTGGAGAAAAACTTAAAATCTTGTTATTGCTTTATTAGATATTTCTGGGAATCTACATTAGGATGAGAGGTACTTGGTATATTTTGTTGAAGATAGATGTTTATGGGATGTGCAGCGATGGTAATTCTGGACAGGACTGATGGAAATTTTGTCACATAAAAATAATTTTATCTGATCAAATGAATAGGAAAAGCTATTGACAGAGTTAGTATTGAACAAGCAACATATTTAGTTTTGAACACCTAATCTTATTCTTACTATTCTTCTGTCATGCACAGAAGAAATGTATAGTTATTTATAATATTCTTGACTTCACAAAGCCAGCAAGAAGTTGCAGTGAGTTAGCTGAAAGTAGATAAGATCAAATACGATAAATCCTACTTTCTTGTAAGGCTTAAAGAAGGAGATAGCAAGCTGGACCTAATTTGGTCTAATATTTAATGTTTGGAAAAACTATCAATTATACTCAATAAAGTATTCAGTATTGATGTCCAAAAGACTCCCTCAGGAAAGTGTGAGTTTCCCAACACTAGAGGACTTTTGCTGTAACATGGATGACCAGTTGTCAAGAATATTTTAGAGGGGATTCGTATTCAGGGTCAGGCTTACTCCTACTTACTATTTCTAATGCAAAGGTAAAAACTAGATCCAGTAGAATTTTTTATACTAAAACATCTGATTGGGGCGGCTAGGTGGCACAGTGGATAGATCACTGGCCCTGGAGTCAGGAGGACCTGAGTTCAAATTCAGCCTCAGACACATAATACTTACTAGCTGAGTGACCCTGGGTAAGTCATTTAACCCCCATTGCCTACCCCCCCCCAAAATAAGTTAAAACATCTGATTTTTTAAAAAGGTAATTACATTTGGAGCCAAATAAGAATGCTTATCTTTCTCTGCTCTTCCAATATCCATTCTCTTTGTTAAATTCCTAATTTGGCCTGGATTGCTTCACTTCACATATGTCCCACCTTCTTTCTCTAACAGGAACCTGGCTCTGTCCAGAAGACACTGCATCCCTGGGTGTTCCTTCTCATGCCTCAAAGGCCATGCTCTTTACTCCTCACAGCCACCTTCCCATCAATTCCTTTATCATCATTCCTCAACAGCCTCTTTTCCTTTGAAGTTCAAATCCATCTATCCAGTCTTGATTCCTACTGCAGTTGTCTACTGGCATTCAATTCATTCCCCACTTTCTCAAAAAGTCCGGTACCTGGCTCACAATATTGTCTTCACCTGACCTGTTTTTGTATTTGGGGCTTCAATATATACGTTGACATCATTAACTTCTTTCCATCTATAATCTACACCTTCAACTCTACCTCAGTTAGACATAGGATAGTGAAACCCTTGATCAACCATATATATTCTGTCAAAAATACAGAACTTTGAAATTCCACCTATCCTTATATCTCTTATGTTTCATTCTTACCAGGGACTTAATCGCTCCATCCTGACTCTTTTCTAAATCATTACCCTGCTATGGCCCAACTTTTTTCCTTTCAGGCTTGATCTTATGATTGTTCAATTCAATTACATACTCTCTTCTGCCCCTGAATTTCTTGTCCTCTTGTCCAGTCTTGCCAAACACCAACTACTCAAAAATCTTCATTGGCTCCCTATTTCATTACTTAATCCCTCTGGGTCTCAGTTTCTTCAACAATAAAATGAGGGGGTTGGACTAGATGGCTTTTGAGGTTGCTTCTAGCTCTAAATCTCTGAGAATGGATGATTGCAGATAAATAGAACTTTCTTAACTTAGCATTTAAAGGCTTCAATCTGGCATTACCCGCTCAATCCTTACCCTAATCCCATTAGATTGTGAGCTCCTCTATAGTTAGGAACCTTCTTTTGCCTTTCTTTGTATCTCCAGGACCTAGCGCAGTGCCTGGCACATAGTAGACACTTAATAAATATTAGGTCAATATTATTATTAATAACATTGACTATTAATCAAAGTTTGCAGACTTCTTTCTTATTAGCTCCCTTCTTCCCTCCCCCTGCTCCAACTATTTTACCTTCCAGCCAATTGGCCTAGTAGCTATTCTTCAAATCTGAGCTAGCCTCCATGTCTGGACAGTCCCATCTTCAATTCCGCCTCTTAATGCCTGGTTTCATTCAGGGCTTAACTCAGGCGCCACTTCCTATGTGAAGCCTTTCCTGATCCACTCCAATTTTTAGAGCTCTCCTTTTCTCCTGAAATGATTTTTTATTTACTTATCAGTGTACAAGCTTCAACCTTTCCTGTATAACCTAAGCTCCTGATGGCATGGATTGTTTTGTTTTTGCCTTTGAATTCTCAGAACCTCCCAAATATTAGACACAATAAATATTTGTTGCGTTAAATTACTGGTGAAAAAAAATTATACAAATATTGACATTAAAGGAAATGTAGAAATGCAAATGTCACGCTTTCACAACCACTGCCTCCCCTAGTAGAGCTAGAAACTATAGAGGCTGTGAAATATGTTCATGATTATTTATTTATTGTGCACCTGCAGGGCAGGTAGCACTCACTGTTCAGATGTAGTTCAAATACAGTGTCTGAGAAGTTTTAGGGAACTTTAAAGCTATTAAAGCTTAAAACCACACTAAGACCTTTGGAACACCCTGCATATAACTTTGGTTAGTAATAAAAGTTAAATGTTAATAGCAATAACTAACATTTATATAGCACTTTAAGGTTTTGTGAAGGGTTTTACATGTTATCTCATCTGATTCTTACAATCCTGAGTGCTATTATTATCCACATTTTACAGATAAGGAAACTGAGGCTGAGACAGTCACTTAATGATTTGTGCAAGGTCACAGAGCTATTAACCATGAGTGAGAATTTGAATTCAGGTCTTCCTGGTTCTCGGTCCCCTAGTCTATCCACTGTGCCACCTAGCTACTGCTAAGAAGTCTCCTGTCTTTTGTAAAGATAAGTCTGAAAATCACAGATATAATGTGAACACATGGATTCATGTACCTATAAAAAACATACATATAAAGAAGCGAAGGCACTATCGGTACAGTGAAGTGGTTGAGGAGATGAAGGGTTTGCCAAGTTACTAACAGAAGCCTTCCTGGAGAGTTGAATTTTTAAGGTAATATTAAAGTCTGGAAGAGCATAGAACAGTCTAGGGAAAGGGCAATCTGGTTAAAGAAACTATTTGACTTTCCTTTAGATCAGGTTAACACATTCCCCAATATGAATAGCCTGGGTGAGTAACTAAAACAACCAGAATGGCAAGTATTGAGCATTTAGATCATCTGGATCTCATACCACTGAGTGCCAAGGAGAGGAAAGCTTTGAATATAATATTCCAAAAGGCAAAAATGTAAAGGCTTAAGATCAAGAATAACTTATCTGGCAAAACTAAGAATAATCCTACAAGGGGAAAAAAATGGTCCTTTAATGAAATAGAGGACTTCTAAGTATTCCTGATGAAGAGACCAAAGCTGAGTAAATACTTTGAAATGCAAACACAGTAATCAAGAGAATCATAGAAAAGTAAACACATAGAACAATTAGAAGGAATTATTTGACCAATGTACACAGCCAGCCCATGAGAAGTCAGGAGCTCTTCCCTTAGACTTCTGATCTGCACATTATCATGGTCAAACCAGAGTGAATCAGTGACTTCAGCCGGGTATAGCCCTTCCATGCTATGGCTAAGTAAACTTCCTTTTGTTAACTCTTTTTAAAAGGAAAAAAAAAAGAAATGAATGAAATGATTGCTGTGAGGGCTCTGATGAAGTTAGACAGTGTGGATTTGCAGTGGATCCAATCTGTATGATTCTGTGTCTTCCTCCAGAAGTATTTTGTACCTTAGGAGTAGGACCAAAGATGACAAAACAGTGCAAAGCAAACAGTGCTGCTGCTTTTGGAGCCAGGGGGCCTTGATACAAGTTCCAGCCCTGCCACACTCTGAACTTGGGCAAGTGACCTCCGCCTTCTCTTCTATAAGATGGGAGAGCTGGAGAAGGCAGGTGTGAGGGTCTCTTTCTATTATAAATCCAAAATCCGATGGTCCCAAGGTAGACACTTGTAAGATGAAGATTAGCAGGGCTTAAAAAGTTTAAGGACAAAGGAGAAAGGGGGTAAGGACTACACACAGTGCTTCTTTTTTTTAAAATTTTTTTATTAAACAGGTTAAATCTAGGGATCAGACTGTGAAAGGAGAGAAGTAAAGTCAGAATAGAAGTGGTGGACTAAGAAAACAAGGAGACTGAGAGTACACAGGAAAGGAAAGATGAAGTGGAGGAAGACTGTGGGAAAGGGTGAGAAAAATACTAGGAAATAATGATTTGAGAGGGATTTTTTTTGAGTTCTGGATCAGCCTGGGATGATTCGAGGATTTAGGGTGACTGTTCTTGTTGGCTGCTAAGCTATACTGGAGAGAGAAACCAGAATTGAGGATGTTGATAAACTTTATGAAGCCAGGGGTGTTTGTAGGATCATCCACCCAAAGACTTAAGTCCCCAAGAAGAAGGGCAAGGGTTGGGATGGAGATGACTATTAAGTGAGGTACTAAGGATTTATTGAGAAGTAGATGATAAGGATCTTATCACTGCATAGCCCTAAATAATTGAAGAAATAGAAATTGCTCATGGTAAAATTAGTCAACATAAGAAAAATGACACTACCTAAATTAATTTACTTATTCAGTGCCATATCAAGCTACCGAAGAATTACTTTATAGAAACAGAAAAAATAGTAATAAAATTCAAATAGAGGTAAAAAAGGTCAAGATCTCAAGGGAAATGATGAAGAAGTTGGAATAAAGGCGGCCTAGAGGCCTGATAGTACCAGATCTCAAACTATACTACAAAGTAGTAATTCTCAAAACAATTTTGTACTGGTTAAAAAATAGACTGATCAGTGGAACAGATTAGGTACACAACATATAGAAGCAAATGAATCTAGTAGTCATGTGTTCAATAAACAAAGAGACCCCAGCTACTAACTATTCAATAAAAACTGCTGGGAAAACTGGACAGTATTATATTGAATAAATTAGATTTAGATCAACACCTCATACTTTATACCAAGATAAGCTCTAAATGTCTACATGATCTATGGACAAATTAAAGAAATATGAAAAACCAGATGACTGGTAACTGGTGGAACACATTTCAAGGACCCAGGCTCTTATAGAAAACAGGTGCTTAATAAACGTTGGCTGAATTCAATCAATGAATCAACAAACATCTTATTAAGTGGTGACTATGTATGTGGCAGACATTTTTTAAGCACTGGAGATACAAAGAAAAAGCAGAAACAGTTCCTTCCCTCAAAGAGTTTACGTCAACAGGGAAGTAAACAATTACAAATAGGTACACACAAAATAGATACAGAGTAGATGGAAAGTAACCTTAAAGGAGAAGGTTGTAGCATCTGGGGAGAGCAGTAAAGGCTCCCGGTGGAAGGAGACGTTTGAGTGAAGGAAGAGACAAAGATGAGGAAGGAGAACATTGAGGTGGTGAAACTCAGCCACGGCAAAGGCAAAGAGACAGGAGATGGGATTTTGTGTGTGAGGAATAGAAACTAGGCCAAAAAGGCTGGCCCAAAGAGTTTGTGGAGAAGAGTAATGCTTAATAAGACTAGGAAGATGGAATGGGGCTAGGTTATAAGGGCTGAGGGTACTATGGAATCACTGGAGTTTGTGAGTAAGTGGGGGTGGGGAAGACTTAGGCTTTAGGTCTTAAGACTTAGGCTTGAGTCTTTAAGTCAGACTTTGGCTTTAAGAAAATAATTTTGATGCTTGTGTGGAAAATTGATAAGATTAAAGGAAGGGAGATTAATTAGAAGGCACTCACAGATTACCAGGACTGGTAGTCTCCCACCAAAGGGCTTCCCTTGTCTAACATAGGAATTGTGCCAATCCAGGGCAGTCTCTCACAATTTGCCAAGATTATAGGCTGCCCTACTAAGCCTACTACAAAAGTCCTAGTCTAGAACTTAAAAAACAGCTCATGCTGACCCAAGAAGACCAACAACAGGAGTAAATACCAGCAATGCCAATTTCAATATAAGACAACCAAAGCCAACAAATGTAATAATAAAAGAACAGCTCAGGGACTTTTTCCTGTGTTGCTTCAATGCTGCTTTTTTTTTTCTTTTTGTCAAGTTTACTTACAGGCTGAAGATAGGACAGGACATAGAAGACAATCAGGTTATCCAGAAAGTAAAGGAAGGCAGGAATGGACCACTTCATATAATGGCAGAGTTCTCTCCAAGAGGCACATCCAAAATCTTTACACTGGTAGTCTTCTACAGGAAAAGATAAAATGGATATGGAACTTGTATTGGTGAAAATGATCAAACTTTTAGATGAAAAGACAAAACTCTATTCCATTTCTGAAGATATTTCCTTAAAAAAGGATTTATGGATTTGTCTAGATGAATGTTAAATAACTTTAGAAAATAAAGGATAATAATGAATATAGTCAAGAATATAAATGTTTTATATATTGTTGATGTACCTTTCCTCTGCCCTTGGGAAACACAGTGAGAGTGATGACCATGATTTCTATTTACTTGAGATCCTGGAAGTAACAACTGCGGAGATCCAGGAATATGTACATGATTTTGCTTTACATCTATGGGCATAAGACTAAGAAGGAAGAATGAGGCAATAAGCTAGAAGAAATAGGCAGATATTTAGAGTAGATACTTATTTTCCCATTGTGGACCTAAAAAGATGGACTAGACTTCAAATTTGAACTCACCTCTGTGGCATTAAAGAAAACTAACCTTAACCTTCAACTGAATATACCCTGGTTTCCAAAAACTCTAGTGGAAGTCACCCCATAGACAGAGGGAAAAGGATAGGAAGACCAATGGCACAAAGCATAAAAATGCCCAAGTTTCATGCATCTTTCAACATTTCCCATCCAGAATCTTAGATTAAGAAGTTTAGTCTAATATGAAATAAGATTCTTAAATGCAGTAAACTGCTAGAGGTTCTCTTCTAGGCTAGCTCTTAGAAATTGCTTGTTTATATATTAAACCTCACAGTTGAAGCTTACTAGATGCAGGAGAACAGATTCCATACATGATTTTCTAATGATGCATCAATTCATCAGAATGAGATACTCCCTCCCCCAACAAAGCCTTCTTAGTAGATAAAATCCTAGGTAGTTTTTGAGGGACAGAGAGGTTAAATAACCAGTCTGGGGTCACAGAGGCAATAAGTGTCAGAACTATGATTTGAATCTTGACCCCAAGACTGGCACTCTATTCACTAATGTTTTTTCAGAACCAATACTAAACAGAAAATATATAGTATTTTTTAATATGGTCTGCATTCACAACATAAATAGCTCAGGCAACATAATTAACAGGATTCAATCAATAAGTATTTATTAAGTGCCTACTTAATCATTTGTTTAATTTTTTTATTATTAAATAAACTACATGGTATCATTTCAACAGCAAATTTAATCCCAAGGAACATAGAAACTAATGCCTTGTGGTTTGGCTATTTTTAACCAACATCAGATTAAGAAATAGCAAGATGAAAAAGGTGTAACTTAAATACTTTAAAAAAGAAATATACTTTTACAGAGATCTTATTAGGAAGGATAATGATTTTGTTACATTAGAAAGATTATGAAAGATACAAAAATGTTATTTCAGGTTTTACAATCAGTATGCCTTTTTTATTGTTATGGCTAAGTTTTCATTCTATCCAAAAAATTTCAAAATATAGTTTGTTACATGAATTAATGGAACATATACAAGTTCAAAATACATGTTTCATGACTAAAAAAAGTTTAACTGAGCATTTATAATAGACTTTTTTTTTCTAATAGATAATGTAACTCAAAATCTACATGCTTGATTGTAGATCAAGAGATGCTGGGCATACAAAGACAAAATGAAACAGTCCTTAAAAGAAACTTACTTAAGGGGAGACAACATACAAAATTTATCTAAAATTAACTCAGGAATATATAAAAATAACTCAAGATTCTGAGTTATAAGCTAAGTGCATCTTTTTAAGAGTTTGTAGCTAAGCTAATGGCCACCAATTGAGTAATAGCTCTCAAATGTAATGGAAGACTTCTAGACTACTGAGAAGCATGGGAAGACTTATATGAACTGATGCAGAGAATCAAGAAAACAATATAAATAATGTCTACAATAATAGTTAATATTTATACAATGCTGTAAGGTTAGTAAAACGCTTTATACACGTTATCTCACTTGATCCTTATAACTACCCTCCAAGGTAGGTGCTATTATTCTCTCCACATAACAGATGAGGAGATGGGGACCAAAAAAGGTTAAGTGACTTGCCATGAATACACAGCCAGTCACTCTGTATGGTGCTATTTGAAAACAGGTCTTCCTGACCCCTCAGGTAGTACTCTCATCATTATACCTCCAGACTATAACAATGTAAATGGAAAGAACAACAGCAAAAGAAATTGAATGTGATGTAATCTTGGCCCGGGGAGAAAATGCACCTGGTGCTTCTTGACGGAGGTCACACAGATGATCAGCATCAGGTGATAAACTGGTGAGTTTTGCTGATCTTCTTTCCCCCTCCCCTCCTTTCTGAAAAATTCTTTGTTACAAGGGATGACTTGATGATGAAGAGGAACATATTCAGAAATGAAGGTGATGTGAAAACAGAATATATAAATATGTGTACACTTATGAAGCTGCAAACTGTGCCACAACAAAAATCCATACAATATTAAAAGAAACAGGGTCTATCACCTTAAGACAACTAAAAAAAAAGAATACTTCCTTACTTAAAAGGAAGAAGAGTTTTGATAGACATTCTTAGAGAATATGACAAGCAGATCAATAATCTAGAGAAATAATTTTGGAATAAGCAGGCATTGCTTTACTGAGCAACAGTAAAATCTGAATAACAAGTACATGCCACTGGAGTTGTGTAATGTAATCTAAAAATGATTTATCTCTGAGAACCTATGAAATGGCTAAAACTCAAGAATGAAGTCAAAGGCCCTCTTTGGGTAACATCTGTATGAACATGGATGACAATATGCTGACAAAGAAATATCAAATAAATGCATGAGTCATACAGATTTATTTATGATGGCAATTCAGTGCCAGGTATTTGCTACCAGAAATTATAGAAGGGTTGTCTGTAAGGGGTCCAGACTTAGTGATTAATGTTGATTATGTGAGGAGATAGTAGAAATTGTGTAGCACATCACTACAAGCTTAAAAAACATAGCACCTATCAAATAGCTAGAATACATGACTAGCTGCTAAAATTACACATGATAATCTTTCACTGACTGACAGATTACAGATCCCCAAAGTCCAATATAGATTTCAAAATATCATGAAGATTTCAACCAATAACCTTTATTGGAAAATAAACCATTATCACAGATGGAACTGTTGCCCACATTCACCCAGAAATAACACTGATCCAAAGGAACTTAAGAATAATGTTTTAGATAGAGTTTCCAAATGAAATATTATACTCTTCAAACTAAATGAATGCAAAATTTTCAAAATATATGACCTAGTAGAGAAGATAAAAATTATATGGGAAGAGGATGAAGTCCATATCATTTCTGTTGTCCCATCTGCTACCAAAGTTGTACCAAGGATGCTTTCAGTAAGTATAAAAAGGGTAAGCTTACATACTAAAAATACTTTTATTAAACTCCAAAAAGCAGTTACTTTATATACCTCTGATATGGTAGACAGAACATTAAATCTAAAAGAATAATAGTAAGATAAGGACTTGTCCCAGATCTAACAGAAAAAGATGAGAAAAACAAGTTGTTAAAAATAATTGCTTATATTTATATAGCTACTGGGGCAGCTCTCAGTTCTGAGTCAGGAGGACTTGACTTCAAATCTGGCCTCAGTTACTTCCTAGCTGCGTAACTCTGGGCAAGTCGCTTAACCGTATTTGCCTCAGTCTCCTCATCTGTAAAATGAGCTGGAGAAGGAAATGGCAAACCATTCCAATATTTCTGCCAAGAAAATCACCAATGGTGCCACAAAGAGTCTTGGATCCCTAGTTCTCTCAAAGCTTATTTCAAGTTCCATCTTCTACATGAGGCCTTCCCCAATACCCTCAATTTTTAGCATTATACTCCCCACCCTGAAAATATTATTTTTCAGTTTCTTCATAGATATTTTATATTTATAGCATTTATGTACTTGTTTCCTCCTAGCAAAAAGCAAGCTTCTTGAGGAAAGGCACTCATGTTTCCATTTTTGTCTTTGTCCATACAGTGGGCGTTTCATAGCTTGGTGAATTGAACTAAATGCTTATTTAACAGTGTGTGACCAACTTCCCCTGGGCCTCAGTTTTCCCAATTGTAGAATGATTTTGGGCAAGATGATTTATAAGGTCCCTTCGAGCTATAGAATGCTGATGTTGTTGTTCAGTCATTTCAGTTGCGTCCGACTCTTCGAGACCCCATTTGGGGCTTTCTTGGCAGAGCTACTGTAGTAGTTTGTCATTTCATTCTTCAGCTCATTTTACAGATGAGGAAACTGAGGTAAACAGGGTTAAGTGACTTGCCCAGGATCACACAGCTAGTAAATGTCTGAGGCTGGATTTGAACTCATGAAGATGAATCTTCCTGACTTCTGGTCCGGCACTCTATCCACTGTGCTACCTATAATTCTAACTTGATGAAGAGACTATGAGGGATAGGCCTCCCTTACCTTTCTTCAAAGCCCAGATTGCCACAGCCACACAAAAGATCAGCTTCACAAGTTCTGAACACATGTTGACAGTTGTAGGAAGATAATCATATTTATTCTCTGAAAGGGAATAGAGAGGAATTTGTTACTCTATTTGGTATTAATGTGGTCATTAATTTGATAAATGTTTTATGAAGCATTTATTATAAATGTACTTCCAGTGAAATGTTGTTTTATAGACAATTTGTAGAACTGGAATATATCTGGGTATTCATGTAGCATTTTCCCATGAAAACTTTGTGAATTAGGGAGTATAAATATCACCATTGATAGATGAAGAAACTGAGGCTCAATCATCCACAAGCATTTATTAAGATTCTATTATGTACCAGGCGCAGTGCTAAGCACTTGGCAGACAATAAAAATAAAAACATCATCTTTGCTCTTAAGGGGCTCACATTCTAAGGAAAGGGAAACAAAATGCAAAAAAAAAGTATGCACACAAGATAAATACAGTATAAGTGAAATGTGATCTGAGAGGGGTGACACTATTGGGGGTAGAGAGGGCAGAGATGAGGAACAGGAAACATCTCCACCAAAAGTGGGATTTACGCTTTATCTTGGTGGAAGCCAGGAGGCAGAGGTGAGAAGGATGAACATTTCAGTCATGGGTGGACAGCCAGTGAAAAGACACAGTCAGGAGATGGGGTGTCCTGTCCAAAGAACAGTATGGCTAGATTGTAGTGTTTGTAGAAAGGAGCAAAGTGTAAGATGACTAGAAAGGTAAGAAGGGGTTGGGCTATAAAAGGCCAAAGAGAGCATTTTATATTTGATATCAGAAATAATAGGGAACCAATGCAATATGCTGAGAAGAGGGATACATGGTCAGACCCATGCTTCAGGAAATTATCTTTGATAGTGGAGGTAGCTTTGATAAAGGATGGATTAGAGTGAGGAGAGGTGTGAGACAAAGAGACCACTCAGAAGCTATTGTAATAGTCTAGGTGTGAGGGGATAAGGGCTCGTACCAGGGTGATGGGTATGTGAATGAAGAGAAGAGAATCTATACAATAGATGTTATGAAGGTTAAAATGACAAGATTTGGCAACTGATAGATATATGAGGTGAGTGGGAGCAAGGAGCCAAGGATGGCACTGAGGTTGTGAGTCTGTGTTTCTGGGAGGATGGTGGTGCCCTCAGCAGCAACAGGGAAGGATTCCCAGGTCACTCCCTCCCTAGACCACACATCAGCCTCTTCCTCACCTCAGGATGCCTGCAGTGTGAGGCCTGCTCTCCTGCTTTCTGTGTCCCTGGCCAGGATTGCTATTTTTCAGAGTAGCCCCAGACATACTAGCTTTACCTGCTCAGCAGCCTTGGACCCCCTACCCCTGCTTTCCATCTCCCTTTTATGGACTGTCTTCCCCCATTGGAGTAGGAGCTCCTTGATAGCAGAGACTGTCTTATTTTCTTGCATTTGTATCCCTAGAATTTAGCACAGTACCTGGCATATGGTAAGAGCTTAATAGATGCTTTATCTTGAAAAAAAAAGTAATAGGGAAGTTTGGAAGAGGGGAATGTTTGAAGGGAAAGATAATTAGTTCTGCTTTGAACATGTTGAGTTTAAGGACATCCAATTCAGTATGTCCAAGAAGCAGATGGTGATGTAATATTTGAGCTTAGGAGAGAGGTCAAGGCTGGATAAATAAATATGGAAAACATCAGTATAGAAATGACAAGTGAACTCATGAAACTGAAGACCAACAAATGACACAGTATGGAGAAAAGAAGAAGGGCTAGGACACAGCCTTGTCATTCTAAAGTGCAGATCTGGGGCAGCTAGGTGGCACAGTAGATAGAGCATCGGCCATGAAGTCAGGAGGACGAGTTCAAATCCGGCCTCAGACCAAACACTGGACACTTACTAGCTGTGTGACCCTGGGCAAGTCACTTAACCCTAATTGCCTCCCAAAAAAACCCCAAAAAACAAACAAACAAAAAATAAAATGCAGATCTGATAATGTTTCCTCTTTCCTCCCACCTCACCCAATTCAATAAACTCTAATGACTCCCTATTATCTCTAGGATCAGATATAAAATTCTATTTGACATTAAAAGTCTACCACTTAGTCATCCCTTCTCCCCACCGCTCCAGTCTTCTTACACCTTCTCCTCCTCCTTCCCCTTCCATGTACTCTGACATTCAGCAACATTGGACCCTTCCTGTTCCTCATACAATACAATTCATCTCCTGACTAAGCATTTTCACTGGTGATCCCCGGCCCTTTTCATCTCAGCCTCCCGGCTCCATTGGCTTCCTTCATGACCTGGCTAAAATTCTACCTACCAGAAGTCTTTCTTACTCCCTCTTAATGCTAGTGCCTTCCCTCAGTTATTTGTCTTGTTGTATGTTGTCTCTTCTATTAGATTAAGAGCTCTTTGGGGGTAAGGACTGCCCTTTGCCTTTCTTTTTATCTTCAGTGCTTAGCACAGTGGCTGGCACATAATGAGCACTTAATATACGCTTATTCACTGACTAACATCCATCATTACGGGCATGACCTTGATGAAGATCCCCAAAAGGAGACTAAGATGGAATGATCAGAAAGTAAGAACTAGGTAATCTCACAAAAACCTAAGGAAGGAGAGGGTTTCTGGGAGAATAGGGTGACTGACAGTGTTAAAGGCTGCAGAGAGGTCAAGAAGGATGATGGTTGAGAAATGGTCATCAGATTTGACAGTTAAGAGTTCACTGATAACTTTGGAGAAAGCAGTTTCAGATGAATGATAAGGTTGGAAGCCAGAATATAGGGGATTTAGTAATGAATGAGAGAAGAAGTAGTGGAGGTATTTAATGTGGACGGCTTTCTTAAGGAGGTTAGCTATGAAGGAGAGAAGAGAAACAAAATGACAGCTAGCAGAGATGGTGAGATCAAATGACTTGTCTACGGAAGGGTGTGTTAGTGCCAGTTCTAACCAGCAAGTCAACTGTTTAGTTTTCACTGTGAGCATTTATACCTCAGAAATCTGCAATCAGGGCTTGACTTATTGTTTTGTTAAGTGTCTAGACACTTAAGAAAGTGTTACTACTACCAAATAAACTTAAAAGTTTATTTAATAAATAAAATTAAAAGTTTACATTTTTCCTCCAGAGAGCCTATTGTCACCATACCCTTATATTGTTCAATAAACACTGCTTGAGCTCAGCAGGAATGCAGTTAAAGGTTTAGGGAATAAAGTCACTACCACATTGAAAGTCTAGAGACTGTAGGCTACTAATAATAATTATAATAATTCGTATTTATATAGCATTTTAAGATCTGCAATGTGCTTTAAATCCATTATCATATTTGAGTCTCGCAAAACCCTTGTGTTCATGCCATAGAGAGAGTTACAAACCAGAGCTGGGAACCAATCCAGGGCCTCCTGATTCCTGGTCAGTGCTTTTTCCTACTTGGACTTAGTGTCAGAAAAGCTAGGTTTCAGCCCTGTGTCCATTACTTATTCAGGGAAACAGAATGGTATAGTGGGAAAAATGCTGGAACTTAAGTCAGAAATGACTGGGTTCTAATTCTACCTTTGACATTTATTAGCTGGGTAATGACAGACAAGTAAATCGCTTCTTTAAGACTCAGTTTCCCCATCAGTAAATTGAAGATAATAATACCTATTGTACTTACCTCCTACTATTATCGTAAGAATTTTTCAATATTCATGGATTAAAGTTATATATATATATGTGACATTATAATTATTATACCATAATACTGCTATATTCTAACCAAAAGTCCAGAGAAGTAAGGATATGATAGCACTTCCACCAGTAGGGATCTACATAGATGCACATTCTAAAGAATTTTGGGATCATTAAATCATTACTTTCACATGCCTGTTTCCTCTTTCTATACTCCTCAACTATCATTCACCTAAATTTATTCCTCCTTTTTTTGTGCTCTATTTTGGTTTTTTTGTCAGTCTTTTGAAAATCGATCTCAATCACGTTCTAATCAATTTAAAATGTCTTCTTCATGAATCATAAATGTCTTATTAGCAGAGATTATTCCACATTACATGTATATACATATATACATATGTTTGTATGTATGTGTATTTATACATATATACTTAGATATACATACATATATATATACACACACACACATATGTATTCATTCCAAAAGCCAGCATGGTGGTTTGTACAAAAATCTAATAAGTCACAGAAGGCTACATTTGGAAAAGACTTTATGTAATGTCTATCCAATAATTCTCCTAATGTTTTTTCCCCACTTAATAGTATTTTATTTTTTCCGATTACATGCAAAGATAGTTTTCAACATTTACTTTCATAAGATTTTGAATTTCAAATTTTTTTTCTCCCTCCCTCCACTCCCCCTACCAAGACAGCATACAATCTGATATAGGCTATATATGTATAATCATATTAAGCATATTTTCACATTAGTCATGTTGTGAAAGAAGAATCAGAACAAAAGGGAAAAACCATGAGAAAGAAAAAAGAAAATAGTACGCTTTGATCTGCATTCAGACTCCATAGTTCTTTCTCTGGATGTGGATAGCATTTTCCACCATGAGTCTTTTGGAATTGTCTTGGATCATTGCACTGCTAAGAAGAGCTAAGTCTATCAAAGTTGGTCATCAAGAGAGGTGGAGCCAAAATGACAGAGTAAAGGCAGGGGATCACCTGAGCTTTCCCTCAAAACCCTCCAAATACTTTAAAAAACTGACTCTAAACAAATTCCAGAGCAGTAGAACCCACAAAAAATGGAGTGAAACAAATTACCAGCCCAAGACAACTTGAAAGGTCAGCAGGAAAAGTCTGTTGCACAAGGGTCAGGTCCCAGGAAACCTGAAGCAGGCCTCGTGGTGACCAAATCACTGGCAGCAGTGGCTGTTTCAAGACCTCTCAGCCCACAAATGCAAAAGACAGCTCAGAGGGTCAGCAGGAAAGGTCCCCTGCACATGGGTAAGAGTGGAGCGTAGTCTAGCATGCGCCAGGTCAGCACAGCCCTGGCTCCAGCAAACCAGGAGTAGGTCTTGGGAGTGACTGAATCAGCAGTGGCAACATCTGCTCATGGAGCTCTTAGCCCACAGCCAGGACAACT